TTTGGAAAGATCCAGCAGTCCTTCAGTGAAGTTCACAGAGTCAGGAAGCTGCTAGAACTGGGAAAGTCAGTTTGCAAAGTCATTGTTAAGGATGTTTCTATGGGAACAGGCTTCGTGCTGTTTGATACTTTCATCCTGACTAGTGCACATTTATTTCAAGGTTTTGTTGAAGGGAAGGAGCTGCAGCAGGATGTAGAAGTGCTTGCTGTATTTGACTACGAGAAGTCTGAGCCAGAAACAAATTTCTACTACTTTAGAGCAGAGAATACATTCACCGACTTTGATGCTGATCTAGATTATGCAGTTCTGGAGCTCAACCCTGAAGGCTCAAAACCAAACCAGCAAACAAGAGCACAGAATATAAAGGTCCCACCAGGGCTGCTCAGTGAGTTTGGACCACTGCCTGCCAATGGTGAAGCCTGCATCATTGGACACCCAGCAGGGGGGGTGAAAAAAATGGATCCTACATGTATCATTGAGACAGATAAGAGAGGGCAGGCTATTGATGAACATTTGTATCAGTACAAAAACCTGCTCATCATCAAAACGATCAGTGATTGGCTCAAAGAGCATGGCATTAATGACATATTGATAGGTGGACGTAAAGCAGGAAAGGTAGCGACCTACCACACTTTCATGTATCACGGTGCCTCTGGTTCTCCAGTGTTTGATGGACTTGGCAGAGTTTTTGGTTTGCACACTGCAGGTTATATCTGTGATTCAGTCAACAGTGATGAGAGCGTCATTGAATATGCCATTCCTCTTCTTACTATATTTGAAAGCTTTGTGGAAAATCTGAAGGAAAGTGAAAATGAGGAGCTGCTGAAGAAAGTTGAGAAGGCAGCAAAAAGAAACCCACACCTGAAAGAGATACTCAATGCTGAGGAGCCAATGGAAGTCAGTTAGGTATACAGATTAGGGCAAGTTGCAAACTATTTCTGATTTCAGAGATTCCTTTTTTTCTAATGCATTATTCTTCAAAGAATTGAACACATAAGATGTAACCTGAACCTGTGCCTCTGGGGACCTGTGGTAAAAGGCACAGGAGGATTTGAAGCTTAGTGAAGTTACTGTAGCCCTATACTGAGAGAGATTACAGTCAAAGCTTATACTGCAGACATAACCTCATGCTGAGTAAAATAATTTATATAATAAGAAAATTTCTGACTTTGCGACTGAAAAACACAGATACTTTGTATTTACCCTTAAAGGCACACTACAATGATATAGATGTGATGTTTTAAAACCAAGCTTGTAGCTGGCCTTAGTTTAATGTTTAGATTTTAGTAGAAGTTTCTACTTAGTGGGTGTGTAGCTTTCTGTTCAGATGTAACAGAGCGGCAGTTTTGTCAACAGGAGGCGAGCAAGAACAACTGTTGCCCATAAAGTAAAACAAATATCCGCCTCTAAGTCGTATTTTACCGTTGGAGAATGTGGAAGACAGACAGCCCTCCAAAAAAAGGAAATTGGACACCCCAACTCTCCCGACTGCACACACACACACACACACAAAACATCCTTCGGGTCTCTGTTTTGTGTAAGCCGGCGAACTGCAGGCAATACGCTAGGGGAGCACAGCCTACCAGGCCACTCGAGCATGGCAGCTGGCTATCACTGTGAAAGAAACCTGCGAAATGCGGACGATGCTGCAGACGGGAAGTTGGGGCTGCCGGCTGGAGAAGCGGCGTCATAACAGATCCCCGCCTGGCACTAAGCAGTGACACATTGCCAGGGAGAGAGAGCCTGCCACAGCAGCTCGGCCACTCAGTGGATGGCTGAGGTAGGACAAGGCCCAAGGCCTCTCCCAGTAGCTGAGCATCTAACCTGCACCATCCCACGACAGGGGAGGGGCTGGTTGCTCAGTTCACTGAGGGCCCAAGTGTGGAGCGACTCAAGTTTCGTCACCAGGAAGAGTGGGCCCGAATAGAGACACTTGTGGACAGTCGCGAGGTCTGACTGGCATGTAAGCCAGCGAACCATGTGCAATACGCCATTTGAGGCCAATAAACAGTCAAAGAAAAAAAAAGCATTCTTTATTTTCCTGTTTACAGCATTTTTTCCACACCTTGCTGAAACCTTTGCACAGCACCCTATATGCCCAGATCCAGTTTTGAAAACTCCAGCACGCTGGCAAGGCAAATATAGATTTTTAAACTGTTATTGCATTTAATGAGTTTGACACTTTCTTATTTTTAAGTTATATCTGTATTTATTCTGCTTTTAACACAGATTGAACTACGTTTGCTATATTCTGAACTTGGATTTTTGTTTGAAGATACATTAAAGGCCTGACACAGAAAATCACTTCTTCAGGACTTCAATGGCAGAATCATCAGAGTTTGTGTATTTGCCACGTGGTACAGTGAGTAAACAAGATCTGTATTAAAAAATATAAAATAATAATGATTGAAGCAGCTGTAGAAACATCTTACATACTCTGACGTTATGTTTATGATATCAGAAGAAAATGTTTCCCAGGAAATGGCAAAAG